ATCTGGAACAGCGACCGGAAGCGTCTTGCAACATCTTACAATGTCTCATTCACAGTGCCACAGAGTGTCATAAACCATCATGTGAAAAATGAGCCACAAGAGGACTCTTTTATGTGCAAGATGTCATCGCGTGTGCATTTTCATGCATAATTTAGTGTATGATGACAAAAACAAAGCACTCAGGAAAGTACAACCTTGATATTTCACTGTATTCGTATACATAATACATAATCTTTTCAAGTAATTAGTAATGCATTAAAAATAAATAAATATATGTATATACCCATTTTTGTACATACACACACACACACACACATATATATATACACATATATATGTGTATATGTTGTATATGTTTTTATGTGTATTTATCAAAGCAGACATTTTGCGCTATATTTCGAAATATATCTTACGTATGACAGTTATATGTAAATGTGTATATCATATATGTAATTTGCATACATTTCCATGTATCAGATTTCTATATGGGATAAGAATAAGTACAAACAAGTTATGTGGTTTCAACTTTCCTTGAATATAGTCATATTTGTTATTCTAAATGAGAGTAGAATATTATATCACGTTTTCACAAAAAGCTAGCCTATTTTAAACATTACTTTCATATAAAACAGGCTACTTTTAATCTAAATAAAATCACTTTTGGGAGATAATGCAGAAGACAAAATGAAAAATCTCGATTTCGACACATTTGTCCAAATTTACAAACAGTTTTCACTGATATCCAGTCTCTCTTCTTGTATTTCTGTGATTAATGACAGATTAGTTGAATACATTGTCGTCTAGACTCTCTTTCTGACCCACATTTAATGGCCGGGTCTGTCAGCACTGATGTATATCTGTCAGGTGCTGGGAAAGCACATTTACTGAACATGATCTGTTGCTCTATTTTAAGAACATTCATGGCACAGAAACACATTCAACACATACAGCTGCATTCATAACAGTTGCATTATGTGCAAAATAAAAGGTAAACATTCATATTAACACAGTCCATTAAACATCTTCTTACCATTGTCAGCTCCCATTTTCCCATTTCTGGATGTTATTATGATATAATCCTTTCCATCCTCTCACGAATAATCATAAAAGTCCAACACACTCACAAAAACGCTGTAGAAAAATTATGTATTTTCTAGAAAACAATCATCTTGAAGGTGGCATGAGAGCTGTATTCTGAGTTATTAGGCTATTTATAAGACGATAACTCCATATATAAATAAACAATTAGCAGTAATAGCTATAAATATAAACGAACATTAACTTATATATGTCCTGCCAGCCTCAGAAACGCAGTTTAAAACAAATGTAATGGACAAATATCCGTCCTTTAGCACAGACTGATCGCACTGAAGTGTCAGTTCACCTGCGCTCATATGGGCATCATGAAGTGGGAGGTGTTAAAGTAGGAAGTCTCTCTCCATCTACACTCTCTCCATCTACATTTATTTTGACGACGACAAACTAAACGGCAGGTATTGTACTGTACAGTCAACGCAACGTACTGAAAGCAACATGCTAATCTGAGTTCGCTTTCTGAATGTCGAGCTCACTGTTAGTAAACACGAAGGTTGTATTTGTTAACATAAAATAAAATCAAATACAACGTTTTTATAAAGGTTTTGTCTTAATATCGTCCAAAAGGAACTATATACCCAACACGATGCAGCGATATATTAATTATTTATATTATTTATTATCATGAAGCGACGTCGATCAAGGAACTTTTCCTACATTAACTAGCTTGAAATCCAACAACAACAACAACAAAAAAAAAAAAACTAGCTTGAAATACGTCAGCTGACCACGTCACTAACGTTAACTTACAATAAATGAACATGAATTATTGCCGGCGTCTGATAGCATAGCGGTTGATTAGCTACATGCTACTTTGTTTGCCTCGTCAGGGAGATCCTCATGCTATTCAGTAGGCTAATTGATCATTAATTTCTGAATATTTGACTTTTTATGGTTACTTTAAATGCTGACATAAGTAACAGCTTTTTAAATAAATAACACCAGATAGTCTATAAATCACTGATCCCATAAACGCAAAGCGCTGGATTAGCAAAATGTCTTAACTATAAGGTTAATCAATAATGTAATTTCAAATCAGTAATGCTGTTTTCCTAGTCACTTTATTTGACCTGAAACCAGATAAAAACCCATCAGACACTAGTTGGTTCTTATTTGGTTTCCATTTGTTTGCGTAACTTACGTGAGATTATGTGAATGATAATAATAGTTATTATTATTATTTATTTGTTTGTTTTTTTGCCAAAATTTGCTTTAGGCTTTGACCTGAAACAAGGTAATCCTAGCAGACACCAATGGTTCTTGTTTGGTTCCCATTTGTTTGTGTGCGTGTGACTACATAATAATAATAATATTAATAATAATAATAAATAATAATAAAATAATAATTGTTTTTATTGTTTTTGTTTATTTTCTATTTTTGCAAAATTTGTTTTAGGCTAATTGATCTGAAGCAAGTTAAATCCTAGCAAACACCATTATGGTTATTTTTAGTTCCTGTTTGTGTGTGTGAGATATTGTTTACATTAATAATAATAATAATAATGTTAATAATAATAGTTATTATTATTTATTTGTTTTTTTAACAAAAAAATTGCTTTAGGCTATTTGACTTGAAACAAGGTAAAATCCTAGCAGACACCATTATGGTTATTGTTTGGTTCCCGTTTGTTTGTGTGCATGATTAATTATAATACTACTAATAATAATAATAATGGGGTCACGGTGGCGTAGTGGGTAGCACAATCGGCAAAAGGTTGAGCCTCGACTGGCTCAGTTGGCATTTCTGTGAGGAGTTTGCATGTTCTCCCCATGTTCGTGTGGGTTTCCTCCGGGTGCTCCTGTTTTCCCCACAAGTCCAAAGACGTGGTATAGGTGAATTGGAAAATCTAAATTGTCCGTAGTGTATATGTGAATGAGTGTGCATGGGTGTTTCACAGTGATGGGCTGCAGTTGGAAGGGCACCTGCTGAGTATAACATATGCTAGATGAGTTAGCGGTTCATTCCACTGTGGAGACCCCAGATTAATAAAGGGACTAAAAAAAATGAAAAAAATAAAAGAATGAATGAATGAATAATAATAATAATAACAACAGTTGTTATTATTATTGTTAATTTGCTTTTTTGGCAAAATTTGCTTTAGGGTATTTGACCTGAAACAAGGCAAAAACCCAGTGATTGTGTAATTAAATAATAATAATAATAAATATACCAATAATAATTATAGAAATCATATGAAAGTTCTTCTTTCTCCTTAAAGAAAGCCTTCCTGGCAAATAAAAATCTAGTAATTCAAAAAAACTTTCATTGTCTATTTGTAGCAAATAGCCTGTGCATTTATACACAAAACCCACTGCTGTCATTGTTATTATAGCTTGACATTGACATTTTGGCATCAAAACTTAAACAGATGCATTTAACTTAGTCATTAGACAGCAAAAGTGTTTAATTAATATTTTAAATTGTCTGAACTTAACATTTTAATTTGTTTAAACGATTCACCATGTCCATATATCCGCTTGTTAAGTGTGACGTCATGCGAATCGGCTTCCGGGTCCAAACGCTCTATTCAACTGTATGGAGAGACTCATGAAATGATAATAATAAACGTTTACAAAGCGATTTAATACCTTCGAAAATCACGATCGCAATATATGTGTCCATGCCTAATATCTGATGGTCAGAAAGTGATTCATTTTTTTTATTAATTGTTAAAATTTTGGTATTTGTTATGCAGCAAGCCCAGAGATTGTTGTGTACACTATGGCTTTATATAAAATTAAATGTGTGATATGAATGAAAAGTGATAATAAACAAATAATTCAACTCAAAACTCAAATGAATGGCGGCTTGGACCCGGAAACAGTATTACATACGTCAACAAGCGGATAGGGCCTATATGGAACAAAATCAATGCCAAAAGTATTGAATTAAAAAGCTTGTTGAACATTATTCAACAAGCTTTTTAATTCAACACTTTTGGCATTGATTTAGTTCCATACTAGACACATTTAAAAAAAAAAACTTCTGCTGCTGGTTCAAACGACTTATTTGAAATAAAATGTGTTGAAACAGCACAATTCTTAATTGTTTTTGAGACAACCTTATTGCTTTATGTTTAGTCAATTTAAATTTGTAAAAACTTTAACTTACTTGAACAGAAAACCCAAATTCCTGAAGGGTAAAGAAAACTTTATATCATAGCTACCAAAACATGGTCGCAGATCAGAAGATCTCTTAAGTACAATCAGAACCTGCGTATTCTATCCACACTGACTAGTCATATTTCTTTTTACCATATTTATATATAGGCTTTCAATTTAGTAGCTGGATTAATTTGGGAATATACAGGATATACAGTTAAAGTCTGAATTATTAGCCCCCCTCTTTATTTTTTTCCCAATTTCTGTTTAACGGAGAGATTTTTCTTCAACACATTTCTAATCATAATAGTTTTAATAACTCATCTCTAATAACTGATTTATTTTATCTTTGTCATGATGACAGTAAATATTGTTTGACTAGACATTTTTCAAGACACTTCTATACAGCTTAAAATGACATTTAAAGGCTTAATTAGGTTAACTAACTAGGTGTAACCGAGGGATAGTGACGCTGACAACAGGGGTGAAGATCCAAATGCAGGTTTATTAGCGAGGTCAGGCAAGCAGTGGTCATTACAGGAGCAAACAGATGTATAAGGGCAATCCAGAGTCGTAGTCAAAATATCAGGCAGATGGTCACAAGGCAGGCAGCAAACAGGATTAAACAAATAAACAAGGCGAGAACCAAAAACACCGAAAAACAAGACAATGGAAAACGCGTTGTAGAGTCCCTAAAACAGTAGACAAGACTCAGTAACAGTGTTTGAGCAGTACTTATAGTGCATGAATCAGTCCTGGAGCAGCTTCAGCTGTGAAAGTCTAGTCAGAGGAGGCTTGGAGCAGGTGTGTGCTGCATGACTGAATATGTAGTCCATTCACCAGCTGGTTTGTAGTGCTATGTGAGTGTGAATGTTTGCCAGCGATCTCTGGTGGTTAAATTGCTGGTGATCGGGACACTAGGCAGGTAAGGGTTAAGAGGCAAGTTATTGTAACAATGGTTTGTTCTGTAGACTATCAAAAAACAAAACAAAAAAAAAGTTAAAGGGGCTAATAATTTTCACCTTAAAATGGTATTTAAAATATTAAAAACTGCTTTTATTCTTACCGAAATAAAACAAATAAGAGTTTCTCCAGAAAAAAAAATATTATCAGACATACTGTAAAAATTTCCTTGCTCTGTTAAACATCATTTGGAAAATATTAAAAAAAATAAAATAAAAGGGGGGCGAATCATTTTGACTTCAACTGTATGATCTCTTTCATAAGGATATTGTTATGCCATTTGAGGAGTTACATTTAAAGCATAATATCCCTAAAAAAGATTTCTTTAAATATCTGCAGATATTTTGTTACTAGACACAGCAGTCTTACCTAGCTCTGATTTCTTTTTGGATAGATTCTTTCTTAAGAATACTGAAGTCAAGCTCTTTCTTTCCAAAATTTACTCCACTATAAACCAGTAAATCTGGTTTCATTGCAGAAGACAGGGAGTAAGAACTTAAAATGCGACAATGTGTGATATTATCAGACTACCCTTGAATATTTCAGTCTGCAACAGATTTAAAGAAATGCAATTTAATATTGCACAGAGCTTACATATCACCAAATAAATATAGTAAAATAAATCACACTACCACCTCAATGTCCAGATTAAAAAATATAATGAAATGTCTTTAAACCTCTACTAATGTTGGGCAGGAAATTAATTATGAATAAATGATTCGAGACAACCTTTTCTTGTCAAGAACTGGATAATTCTGATTAACGAAATCATAATTATGGAAAAGTTTAAACATACTGTATATTGAAAGAAAAATCCAAATAATTTCAGAAGCTTTTGGAAATTCCTTTGACTTATCATGGCATTGATTATGTCTATTATCCGTTACCGTGCACACTATGATATTGTTTTACTGTTTTGAATTAAACCACAGATTTTTTATTTAATTTGTACTATACATTTTTTCCTTCGTTCTTTTTTTTACTTAAAAATACCACATTCTGTGTGTGTTCTACTCATTGCTGTGTATAAAACTCATTCTGAAAAATTAAATAAAAAAACTGGTAAAAACTACTAAGTTAACTGATCAATTTGAGATGTTTTCCTGAAATGGGTTGCAGCCGGAAAGGCATCCACTGCGTAAAACATTTGCTGAATAAGTTAGCGGTTCATTCCGCTGTGGCGACCCCAGATTAGAAAGGGACTAAGCTGAAAAGAAAATGAATGAATGGATCAATCTTGAGTTGGGACAACACAAAGCAATTGTGTGGAAGCCAGCCTTTTTACAGTGTACATAAAGATGCATAGGCTATTTATGCTTTATGGTATAGGCTGGTGGTGGATAAGAAGATTCCCCTCAATGTGTAAAGCGCTTTAAGTTTCCAGAAAAGCTATATATATATAAGGAATTATTATTATTATAATGACATTTATATAACAGTATAAAGTGTCTTTAATCATTTAGGGCTGCATTATAAGCATGAGAATTTGTCTTTATTTACCAAATATAAAAACAGGAAGGATAGCCAGCAGCTACTGATCCACAATGTCCTCTTGCGCATTTCCTAATACACTTTGATTCGTACTCCG